GTGGTATAAAATTCCCCATGCATGCTTGAGGCATGCGATTTTTTTGCGAACTGTCATTTTTCTTCCCTGTGTGCCGCTTGCAAACCACCGAAAGAAAATTCAGAAGTGCACGAGGTACTAGTATTAACTTGCTGCCATGAATTTTCACCTAAAAAGCTGAAATCAAAAATTTTCTTTATTATCACTAGATAATTCTAGCAAAATCTGTTAATCCGTTGGGGATTTCATTTAATGAAAACTTGCTATTCGTTGCTTGAAAAAACGATTAACAAGTTCATTGGGGCGGGTTTGCACTGTTAATAGGTGTGCATGCTTAACACCTATACAGTATTTTATGGAACCCTTATCGCGTCTATTGCAGGAGAGTCGATAAGCTGGCATTTTTGTCAGAGCGTGTATCATAGCTTTAACGTGACAGCGATGCTGTATTGCGATTGGTCCAGCAACCTTTTGTGCGACTTATCATCCTATTTCGAGAGGCACTTGATAACATGCTGAATTTGTCAGCAGTGTATATTACTTGTTACGCTTGACAGGCAATGGTGCTTGCGATCGGCAGCAACTTTTGTTGAACCTTATCATTCCTATTGACGCAGGCATTTGATAGGTGCATTTTGCCAGATGGTTCAGTGTGTACGCTGACATGATGTGTGTTGCGATTGGAGCACTTTGTGGACTTATCAATCCTATTGGAGAGGATGATAAGTGAATTTGTCAGAGGTATATTCATTTAACGTGCATAGGAATGGTTGTTGCGCATCCGCGCCGCAGCCAACTTTGTGCCGACATTATCCATGCCTATTGCTAGGATGATAAGTGGATTTGCCAAATGAGCGTTTAGTGTTAATCGCTAGACAGCGATGTGTTTTTTTTACGATCGGATCAACTTTGCCGCGACTTATCATCCTATTGACGAGGATTGATAAGTGGATTGTCAGAGCCCGTATTGCATGTTAACGCTGACAAAGAGGCCATGTTGCCGCATTGGAGCCATACTTTGGAGCGCTTATTCATCCTATTGACGCAGGATTGCATAGTAGGATTGCTCAGAGCCGTTTGATGTTAACGTTGACAAGAGAGGATGTTGCCGACTTGGTAGCAACTTGGCGGACTTATTCATCCTCATTGACCGATGACATTGCATAAGCTGGATTGTCAAGAAGGTATAATGCTTAACGTGCACAGGTCTCGAGGGATTGTTGCCGATTGGAGCCAACTTTGTGGACTTATCATCCTTTATGCAGCAGAGATTGATAAGTGTTGGATTTGTCATGAGTATTAGTGTTAACGCTGACAGGATGATGATACTTGTGACTTGCCCACAAAAAGGTTTTGGCGAATTAGCAATCTCGCTGCGGGGGACTTGCTAGTGAGTTTATCATCAAGAAGCGTTCATGAGTTCTTGATTGCTCAGCTGATTTAGCAATAATGCATTTTGCATGATCTTAGTGTCTTGCTGGGCCGAAGCATTTGCGATTTGATCATTTTGGGGACCATATCCATCCTATGTCAAGGATGCATACACGTTGATTATTGTCCAGCGAGATTCGAAAATTGCAATGAAAAGAACAAAAGAAAATTGACTTGTATTTCTTTGATTCCGATTACAATTTGATTACAAAAGAGAAGAGAACGAATTTGATTCTCTCCTTTGTTTAAAACTGGGTTCTTCACGGTGGCGATGGAGTGCCTCCTTCGAATGCTCGCGTCGAGTTTGCTCTCCGTTGACGATCCGATGTCTTGATTCACTGGAACGATATCTTCTCCTCACGATTTGACGTTGTGGAGAACTTGCGTGGCACGTTTAAAACTCTTAATGAGTTGATAACTCTGATCGAGTTTGAACTCTTGAAAAAGAGTTGATAACTCTGAACGAGTTTTAACTCTTGAAAAAGAGTTGATTTAAACCAAAAATCGGTTAATAGCCAAGGATGAGGAAGCTCCTGTTGCCGAACGTTGAAGATGATCTTCCTTGAAGGATGATGCCGATCTCCTCCGAAGTTCGCCCAATGATCTCCCATGTTGCTGCCAATTCTCAGCTCTAAAAAGCCAGCCTTCAATGGTCGATTCAAGCCAAGAAAAATCCAACCCCTAACTCAGTTGAGTTTACTCATATTTATAGGGAATTAAGGGGGTGTAACCGCCCCCTTAATTCTCTTCATAGTGGGGCGGAAATCCCTCAAATCGTGGAGGGAAAATGGTTCCTACAACCGTTCAGCTCGTGTTTGAACGAGTCAAACGCCTAACCTGGCGTTCAGGACCCTAACCTCGCGTCTTAGGATTGAGACGCGAGGTTGGGTGTTAACTGAACATCCAGAACGCGAGGGTCGTTATAACGCGGGTCCGACTCCAGTGTTTTGATGTTGTAACGCGGGTTCGACTCCAGCATTTTGATGTTGTAACGCGGGTTCGACCCTGGCGTTTTGATGTTGTAACGCGGGTTCGACCCTGGCGTTTTGATGTTGTAACGCGGGTTCGACCCTGGCATTTTGATGTTGTACGTGTGGGTTCGACCCTGGCATTTTGATGTTGTAACGTGGGTTCGACCCTGGCGTTTTGATGTTGTACGTGTGGGTTCGACCCTGGCGTTTTGATGTTGTAACGCGGGTTCGACCCTGGCGTTTTAATGTTGTAACGCGGGTTCGACCCTGGCGTTTTGATGTTGACACACGGGGAGGTCCTTCGCATTTTGGTGTTGATACACGGGGAGGACCTCCGCGTCTTGCCTTGAAGAGATTATCACCAAGTAATCTTTTTTTGTCATAGCGTTGCAAAGATCATTGTCTTGTAATCTTCGTCTTGGCTCCTTGAGAATATGAGAGTCGTCAGATTGTAACTCCCGATGTTGATTGTGAAGGTTGTTGAAGTAGAGCTCTCATCGGTTGTCGTGAAGATCGTCAGATTGTAACCTTCAGCGATCTACGTGAAAGTATTCAAATTGTAGTCTTCTGGAAGTCGTCAGATTGTAACTTCCATCATCGGTGTTTGATGAGGGATAAGCTATCTTTTGTGATTTTTAGACAGCCTACAAATCCTTTATCCAATAACTCTTGAAGTTGTTCCTTTAGTTCCTTCATCTCAACTGGTGCCAATCTATAAGGGACTTTAGATATAGGAGTGGTCCCTGGGACCAAGTCTATGGCAAACTCTATCTCCCGATCTGGAGGCAATCCTGGCAAATCTTCTGGAAAGACATCCGGGTAACCTCTTACAACAAATATATCTGAAATCTTTTTCTCATTCAATTGGTCACTTATAACACAAGCTAAATATCCACTACAACCTTGCCTCAACAATTTATTAGCCTTCATAAATGAGATTAGGTGCGTGAGTGGTCTTCTACTTTCCCCTTGGAAAACAAAACTCGCCTCCGCTTGTGGTTTAAACTTTATCAGTTTTCTCAAATAGTCTATAGTTGCATGATGAGATGCTAACCAATCCATTCCTAGGATAACATCAAAATCTGACATGTCTAGGCATACAAGGTCTGCATTCATGACATGATCACTCACTAAAACTCCACAATTCTCATAAACATATGTTGCTAGGAGACTACCACCCATAGGTGTGGACACAATTATCTCACTACTTAATAGTGTCGGTGAATTGGGAAAACTCCTAGCAAAGTGAGGTGATACAAAAGAGTGTGTAGATCCAGGGTCGAAAAGTGCATGAGCGGTGAATGAACATATGGGAATTGTACCTTCCACCACAGATGGTGATGCTTGTGCATCCTTCCTTGTCAGGGCAAAAACTCTTCCTTGGTTCTTTTGGTTCTGCTGCACACTCTGGTTGGACTGAGCCTTCCGTTGGGGAGCATTTGATTGCTGTGAGGAATTAGCTCGAGCCGCGTGATCTCCTCTTGGTGCTCGCTCTGTTATTGCTTGATTCCTCAAGGTTGGACAATCTCTCTTGAAGTGCCCAGGTTGACCACACTCGAAACATGCACGGTGAAGTTTGCAATATCCAGAGTGATGATTGCCACATCTAGGGCAGGCTGCTGACTTATTTGGCTGATTTGCTCGATCACGACGAAAGGGAAATTTTGCTGTCGCTGACCTCCCGGGCTGATTCGATGCTGACTTATCGTTTGTGGGACCTCCTTCTGTTCGTGGGCGTTTAACTGAACTCTGCTTCTTATTGCGGATCTCCTAATACTCCAGCTGGTCTTTCTCAATTTCAAATGCAGTCTCCACCAGTTCTGCGTAGTTCCTGATTCTGAGGGCCACTAGTTTCCCTCTGATATTTCCCCTGAGTCCCCTTTGAAACTTCTTAGCCTTATCTGATTCTTCAGCGATCAAATGTGGAGCAAACCTTGATAGTTGAGTAAACTTAGCCTCATACTCTTGGACCGTCATGTTATTTTGTTGCAAACCTTGAAATTCAATAGCCCACTGATCCCTAACACTCTCCGGGATATATTTCTTATTCATAAGCTCCACAAATCTATCCCAATCAATCTGTCTCTGGGCAGCCCTTTCTAATCTTAAGGTTGCCCTCCACCAATGTTCAGCTTCCCCTCTGAACATAAAGGCGGCGAATGACACCTTTTGCTCCTCTGCACAATTCGTTTGCTGGCATTCCTTCTCATTCCGATAGGAACAGAAGATCCTTCTTCAATATTCTCCAGGTGATGTCCTTCCTCATTTTGGGTCTGATTTTCTCTTGTTGTCACCATTATCTATATGAAAATGTAGCAGTAAAAGTTCAGATTCCACAGACTATTCAAAGTACTTCACTCAGAAATATTTCATTGCTCGCATAATATATATAAGGAACTTCAACAATCCACTTAGAGTACTGATTTCTCCAAAAGCTTTTCATTGATATAATATTAACATACACCTATTCATCCATACAAGAGTTCTACAAAAGTACAATAATCCATATCTGATATATAGATAAAAAGTATACAGTCCCAAAATACACCACACTTGTGTGTCCACCCAAAAACCAAAAGTAATAAGATTCCTAAGCTTAGTGACCCAATGGGTCAACCTCTAGGAAGAGGTGGAAGGGCTGCTAGAAGTAGATTCCGTATCAGAGGCCTCAGTCGGCAGTGGTTCACTACCGTCGAGGCTGATCTCCTCCTGCTCATCATCCTCTGCAGGATCCTCTACCATCGGCTCATCCTCCCATGCCCAATCCTCCTCATCTAGGTCAAGGTCCCAACCAAGTGGAACTCCTTCTAGGATCTCACCAAGTAGAGGCTCTGGTGCCACCTCAAATTCCCACTCCATGGGCTCCTCATCATCCATAGGATCCTCGGGGTCCTCCTCTGGGTCCTCCTCCTCGGGATCCTCCTCTATCGGGTCCTCCTCCTCGCGGTCCTCCTCTATCGGGTCCTCCTCCTCGCGGTCCTCCTCTATCGGGTCCTCCTCCTCGTCCCTCTTTGCCAATCGCCCATGGGTATGATGGCCAATCGGGGAGTAATCCACTCTCTCCCCAAAAACCTCCTCTGGGTCAGTCTCCTCAGAGCTGATCTCCCAATCCTCTGAAAGTGTTGACCACACTTCCCCGCTACTAATGGATCCTTCCATCTCAGAAACATTCGAATCTGAATCTGCCATTCCAGCCAAAAGTCATATATCAGCCTCCAATGGTACAAAACCAACCTAATAGAGATCAAGATATCACAAGAATGTCATGGAAAGATAATTCCTCCATGACTGGTGTTTGACACCAACCAGAAAGATCCCTACGTCTCCCAGGTATTTCAATGTAGGACTCTTAAGGTGTCAACCTGTGCTCTGATACCACTGTGTAACGCCCCTCCTCTGGGTGGTACATAAAAATTTGAGCATGACCTATCTGTAATAAGAAGTGTTGACCTGCTAAATCTTTATGCACATCACAACATAGATATACTGAAGGGCGAAAAATAAAGCAGTAGAAAGGCATATGCAATACCCAAGATCACGAGGTTGACAGCAGAGTCCATTGAATACCAAAATAGAAGAGAACTAAAGGGTAATACAAAATATTACAATAATAGCAGTGGCTATAACATTAATACATGTTTTATAAGTCAAAGGTACTACAAAAGTGAACATAAATTAACCCCTATTAAGATTTTCCTCTGGAGCTAATCTTCAAATTCAGGGTCTGCAATGCCCTTATCCTTGCCAGTTGTATGACCTGCGAGTGGATTCAGAAACAATAGGGGTGAGCCTAAGGCCCAATAGGTAACCATAAAAATCTCGGGTACAATCCAAGGGAACGAATGAAAATGATAGACATAGATATCAAACTTGAACAACGGGGTCTCAACATTAAGTTGCCATTCTTATATCGTAATCATTGACCGAAGTGAAATAACATGTAAAGATGAATAATCAAGGTCTAATATTCAGGATTCCAAACTCCCCAATCATGGGATAATCAATAAACCGCGCATGCTTTTATACACCCACCGGTGAGCGTCCTCACACAGGGCATTGTCCCACCGGGACACTATAACATTACCACCCACCGGTGAAGCTTACTTCACACAGGGCATAATCCATGAATATAGACAATCAATCATCAACGAAGAGAGGAATACTATCATTATCAATAGTTGAACCATCGAATCAATTTGAATTGTTGCAATGAAATCATTCAAGGATATCGAAGGTATAAAATTGAAATAAACAACATTAGGATAGCAATGATACCAATCAACAACGAGCCCATGCATGAGGTGAATCAAATAGGAATATTATGAAAATGATAAGATATACAATTAGCATGGGAAACTAACTCGCAGGAATTTCAAGAAAGTAATCAATCGAACTCTCAAAGACTTGAGAGGAAACAATGAAAGGTTACCTACCGATTATGTCGGGATCCTCTCGGCCAACGAATGAATCCAAGATTCTCTGTCCTATATATACATGTATACCCACATGAGATTCTAGACACTATGTCTTTTAAAACTTTAACTTAAAACTTATATCATGGTATAAGCTACACCCTAGATGATTGCATCTAATATCTCTAATATGCACAGCAACCTAAGTAGTGTACATGCAGCAGATTTAGGTGAATAGATGGTACAGCAATTGATGTCCAAAATGCATGAAACTAGTCCCAAATGACTCCATTATGAGTCTAATTTCAGAATATAAAACTTTTACATCAATGCATGGTGTATAGTAAGAGTCATGCTCTCAGAAAACTACACCTATCAAAACTGTAGCAGAAAAACAGAGATCATCATTTGGGATGAATACTTTATTTCGGGTACTTAACTATATTCCAAAGAGCTCATACTTGGTATGTAAGTAATATTATGGATTAGCTTCCATGTCCCATGAGTTTCATCAATTTTGCATTTTTAAAATGCATGATACATGCAAAACAACACAGGGGGGTAGACTGGAATTTCCAGCACATACGCTAGCTATTAGAACTAGGTTTAGGCCTACCAAACGTTATTCAAATTAATTCAAACTCCTATCAACAGAAATACAATTGAGTCTAGTTTTAGAAATAGAAAGAATTTCATGCATGCATGGTATATGTTGAGATATATGCTCTTTACAAAGGACATGACTCAAGCAGACAGATTCAGACACATGCACTGAGTTAAACCATACTTTTAAACTAGTAAATGATCTTAGAATTAAACAAACAAGATCTCAAATGAAAGACACGAATATTTAGTTTCTAGAATAGAAAGAATTTCATGCATGCATGGTATATGTTGAGATATATGTTCTTTACAAAGGACATAGCTCAGGCAGACAGTTTCAGACACATGCACTGAGTTAAACCATACTTTCAAATAAGTGAATGATCTCAGAATTAAACAAACATGGACTCAAATGAAATCCACGGAAGTCTAGTTTTTATAACAAAAAGAATTTCTTCATTTGGATATATACAAAGAAAGTTATGATCTGTTTAGTGGTAGTGTATCTTGCTGGAAATTTCTGCACGAAATTTCAGTTTCAAGATAACATAGACATGCAAGCCCTAAAATGTTACATGCAAAACTAAATCCAAATTAACTATATAATTCAGTTCTAACATCCTTAATAATAACATGCAACTTAGAGTTTTACCTAGGGTTTTGACTTTGCCCTACTTCCTCCACCAAAGTCCTCAACTACCTTCTTTCTCCACTCCTCCTTCTTCAATGTTCTTGAGAGATGAAGGCTTTTGGAAATCTTTTTTTTTTTAAGAGGAGAGGTACTGGAGACGTTCAGAGGAGAGGGAGGAGGTTTTTAAGAGATTTTTCTTCTTAAAATGGCAAAGTGAGAGGTGGAGGGCACATATATATAAGCCCATGTGAAGAGAAATCCTCAATTTGGCCAAAGTTGAGGGGTTTTATGCAAAATTTCCCCCACTAACATGGCTGAACAAATATAATAACTATGTTAATTAGAGAGTTTCACATTAGGTATTTAATGATTTGGTTATCTCTAATCAAGGTTTAAAGCATGGTTAACTTAGGTTTACATGCTAAGTTTGTATGCATGCTATGACTTAGTTAACTAGATCACAATATGAGAATTAGCTAAGTTAAATTCTCACACTAGAAGATTATATGAGATGCAATAAAGAAAAGAATCTACTAATTTATGGATTGGTGTCGGTAACGGTATCCGATCAATGCAAGGAAAAAAAAATTTTGGAATCCTGCGAGATGTCGTATATATACATGTACCTCTCCTCTTAAAGTGAATTTTACCTAGGGGACGTAGGGATCTTTCTGGTCGGTGTCAAACACCAGTCATGGAGGAATTATCTTTCCATAACATTCTTGTGATATCTTGATCTCTATTAGGTTGGTTTTGTACCATTATAGGCTGATAGATGAATTTATTAATGTTGGAATTGTTGCTATTTGTGAAAAATAATTCCTCCATGACTGGTGTTTGACACCGACCAACAGAGCCAGTTACATAAATTTACATTGTGTATAGCTGTTATTCACTTCAGTATATCTATGCTGACTTATTTATAAGATTGGTGGAACTAATAATGATTCAAGATGGTGATACAAAAGAGTAGGTTGTAGGCTTATCAATATGTCGTTCTCCTTTAACTATTAATTTAACCAGACATGGAAATTTATGTAACTGGCTACAACATTAATAAATTCTCAAATTATAGATGGCTTGTTTATACAAATTCCTGCTATCTGTTTGAATTAATTTGAATAACGTTTGATAGGCCTAAACCTAGTTCTAATAGCTAGCGTATGTGCTGGAAATTCCAGTCTACCCCCCTGTGTTGTTTTGCATGTAACATGCATTTTAAAAATGCAAAATTGATGAAACTCATGGGACATGGAAGCTAATCCATAATATTACTTACATACCAAGTATGAGCTCTTTGGGATATAGTTAAGTACCCGAAATAAATTATAGATGTAAAACGACATGTAAAACTATAGATAATGGTACAAAACCAATATGTCGTTTTACATGTCCAAATAATGGATTTACACAAAATTCACACTACTTAATAATGTTGTAGGCTTATCAATATGTCGTTCAACCTGTCCAACAGAGCCAGTTACATAAATTTCCATGTCCCAATGTTCCTTTGACTCATAATGAAAGGTATTTCAAAAACAGAAATATTAAGTAATATCAATGATAGACATAGAACTCCTTCTTCTTAAAGTATCCATACTTTAGGTTGTGTTCTAATGCAGAATGAGAAGGTAGTGGCTTATGCCTCCAGACAATTGAGACCTCATGAGAAGAATTACCCCACTCATGATCTGGAATTGGCTGCTGTGATTTTTGCCCTGAAGATATGGAGACACTATCTATATGGGGTATCATGTGATATTTATACAGATCACAAGAGCCTAAAGTATATATTTACTCAGAAGGAGATTAACATGAGGCAAAGAAGGTGGTTGGAATTGCTGAAAGACTACGATGTAAATATTCTTTACCATCCAGGTAAAGCGAATGTAGTAGCAGATGCTCTCAGTCGGAAGAATCATATTGCATCAGCTTGTTTGCTAACTAAACAAGCCGAGTTAAGTAAGGAGCTTGAGAGAATGGAGATTGAAGTTAGAAAGTATTCTTCTGGAATGAAGATTTGTCAGATAAGCCTACAACCTACTCTGTTGGACCAAATCAAGGAGCGACAGAAGGAAGACAAGGAGCTATGTGAGATAAGGAAGAAGGTGGAACAAGGAAAATATTCAGACTTTAAGATTCAAGATGGTGTTTTGAAGATGGGTAATCGCCTTTGTGTACCCAATGATGGGGAGCTTAAGGATCAGATATTGAGAGAAGCTCACCAGACCCTATATGCTCTTCATCCGGGTAGCACCAAGATGTATCAGAACCTCCGACAAAACTTCTGGTGGAACCGCATGAAGGAGGAGATAGCTGAATTTGTATCAAAATGTTTAACATGCCAACAGGTGAAGATTGAACATCAGAAACCATCAGGACTATTACAACCTTTGCCCATTCCAGAATGGAAATGGGATCACATCACCATGGATTTTGTTACTGGACTACCCCGATCAACAAAAGGAGAGGATGCCATATGGGTGGTAGTTGACCGCCTGACCAAGTCAGCGCACTTCATACCCTACAAGATGTCATATACCATGGAAAAGTTGACCAGCTTATACATTGAAGAGATTGTGAAGCTCCACGGGATTCTCATATCCATTGTATCAGATCGAGACCCCCGTTTCACCTCAAGATTTTGGAAGAGCCTACATCAAGCTTTGGGGACTAAACTGAAGTTCAGCACTTCAGCACATCCTCAAACTGATGGACAATCTGAGAGAACGATACAGACCCTGGAGGACATGCTGAGAGCTTGTACCTTAGATTTTGGAGGCAATTGGGCTACGCATTTGCCACTAGTAGAGTTTGCCTACAATAATAGCTTTCATTCTAGCATTGGCATGGCACCTTATGAAGCCCTATATGGGAGGCGATGTAGATCCCCTATCTGTTGGGAAGAGACTGGTGATCGTCGACTACTTGGACCAGACGTAATCCAGGAGACGACTGAGAAGATCCAAACTATTCGGCAACATATGCAGACGGCCCAAAGTAGGCAAAAGAGCTATGCAGATCGTCGACGCAAGGACCTAGAATTCCAGGTTGGTGATCATGTGTTTCTAAAGGCTACACCAATGAAAGGAATAACAAGAGGTGGCAAGAAATGCAAACTCCGTCCGAGATACCTTGGGCCATTCGAAATTTTGGAGAAGATCGGACCTGTAGCCTACCGGCTAGACTTGCCCCCAGAATTAGAGAAGATTCATAACATGTTCCACGTCTCAAACCTGAAAAAGTACGTACCAGACCCCGGACACATCATTTCGCACCAAGCCTTGCCCCTGCGGGAGGATCTATCTTATGAAGAACGACCGGAGGTGGGAGCCTAGGGTGTCACCTTAGATTCACTTTTCCCATATAGGGAAAATTGAATCTAAGGTGACACCCTAGGCTCTCACCTAAGGACGCGACCTAAAATCACATTATTTCCTAAATTTTTTTGCGATCCGCTTTGTTGAACTTGATCTACACGTTCTTAAACCCAAACACACCAATTTTGGGGTGAACCCGTCGTGTTTTGTCCCTTTATCCACTCGGTGCAATTTTAACGGTTTCGAATGAATAGAACTTTTTGCACGGCTAAACGAATGGTCAAAATACGACGGGTTCACCCCAAAATTGGTGTGTTTGGGTTTAAGAACGTGTAGAACAAGTTCAATGGAGCGGATCGTAAAAATTTTTAGAAAATGATATGATTCTAGGCCGCGTCCTTAGGTGGGAGCCTAGGGTGTCACCTTAGATTCATTTTTCTCATATATATATATATATATATATATATATATATATATATAAACCTCACTATCCTACAAACTAAAAACCAATCATCTCCATTGGATCTAGATTCATCCGATGGCTGAGATTAAAGTTGCATAAGGGTAATCAGGTAAAATTAACAGCCCCCAAAGAGAGGTAATTAATGCTTGTCTGTTGAGTTCTCCATGCAAGTGTAGTGGTTCATTTCCCCATGCAATCTCATGGCTCAGGCAACCCAACAGTCACGAACAGCAGCCCTCTCACTCCTCAACCAGCAACTCTCGTTCATCGTCCTTCAGCTCTCTCTCAATCGAGAAATCGTCTTCTAGTCACTCCACAACCAGCAGCTGTCCTTCATCGTATTTGAGCTCTCTCGTTCATCGTCCATCATCTCGCCATTCTTAAACATTTTATGGAGATTTAAATGGAGAGCTTGAATTCAGGTGAGCAGGTTCTAGTTGTTTTCATTGTAATCGATCCAGATTTAGTATTTCAATACTTAGTCATATGACTTATTATCTAGGAGCTTACATTCTTAAACATTTTATGGATATTTAAATGGAGAGCTTGAATTCAATTGAACACGTTCTAGTTGTTAATCTAGATTCACTGCATTGAATCGAGATTCATTGTTAGAGACTGCAGTGATTTTCATAATTTATTCACTTGTTTACTGTAGTGAATCTGGATTCAATGCAGTGAATCGAGATTCACTCCAGATTAATTAGCAATAATATGAATTCAATGCAGTGAATCTAGATTCATTGTAATGGGTCCAGATTCAGTATATCAAATCTTAGTCATATGACTTATTATCTAGGAGTTTACATTCGTAAACATTTTATGTAAATTTAATTAGAGAGCTTGAATTCAGTTGAACACGTTCTAGTTGTTAGAGAATGCAGTGATTTTCATAATGTATTCACATGTTTACTGTAGTGAATCTGGATTCAATGCATTGAATCCAGATTCACTACAGTAAACATGTGAATACATTATGAAAATCACTACATTCTCTAACAACTAGAACGTGTTCAACTGAATTCACATGTTTACTGTAGTGAATTTGGATTCAATGCAGTGAATCGAGATTCACTCCAGTGAAACTAGATTCATTGTATTGAATCCAGATTCAGTATATCAAAACATAGCCATATGATTTATGTTGTTTTATTTTCAGTTGTAGGTAGCAATGAACAAATAAAGGAACCACATGTTATAAATGCATCGGACAGTGATTTTGGGGAAGATGGAATGGACGAAGTTAGCTCGATTCCTTTTCAATCACCAGGTGGTGGTATGTATTGGAAACCTCGGGTTGAAGCAGAATTTAAACCTTATATAAACCAAAGCTTCCGATCACTAGAGGATGGTATAGAGTTTTACAGAGAGTATGGACATAAAAGTGGGTTTGAGATCAGACGGCATACAGAGAAGAAACATGAGGACGGTACAGTTCTTCTTAAACACATTGTTTGCAGTAGAGCTGGCAGCAATGAATCAAAGATGGATGTTGATTTTGAGGATTTTAGTAGCATTTCGAAAAAGAGAAGGAGAACTGTATCTAGTAGATGTGGTTGCAAAGCTAAAGTCGTTTTTAAGTTCTATGGTTTGAAAGGATATAATGTTCTCTCATTCGTTGAAGAGCATTCTCATTTTTTGGTCTCCGGTAGTGGGAAACATTTTTTGAAGTCAAATAGAGTTCTCGGTCTCGCACATAAGAAACTTGTATTTGATGGTGCAAAAGCCAACATGAGGCCTAACAAACATATAACTTTGCTAAGGAGTTGTGTGGAAGTTATTCTAATGTTGGTGCTACGTGTACCGAGTTTAAAAACTGGAGTAGGGACGTGAAGCTTTATATTGGTGATCGAGATGCTCAAATGATCATCGAGAAGTTCACGGATAAGAAGGAGATGAGTGATGGATTTTTCGATGATTATGCAGTCGATGAAGATGGTCGATTAACTCGCATCTTTTGGGCAGATGTTATTGGACGAAGAAATTACGATGTATTTGGAGATGTGATATCATTTGACTCTACATATTCCACAAACAAGTAAGATTTTATAGTTAATCTCTTACGATTTTCAATATTGGAATTATATATCATAGTGAATATTATATTTTTTGTATGTGATACAATAGGTACAACATAAGGTTTGTTCCATTCACTGGTCTCGACAATTATAAGAAGTGTGTTGTATTTGTAGCAGGATTGATAGCTAAAGAGGACATTGATAACTATGTCTGGATTTTTGACGTATTCATGAAATGCATGATTCGCGAGCCAAAGTGTATTGTTACAGATCAGTGCCCTGCCATGAAGCAAGCTATACCAACCGTCTTTAGAGAAGCACATCACTGTTTGTGCATGTGGCACATCATGAAGAAATTTAACCAAAAGGTAATGAATCCCACATATAAATATCATGAATCCTCATTAGATAAATACTGAATCTTTCGTTATATATTTATATTGTAGTTGGAAAAATACATTTCGAAGATGGATGATTTCAAGAGGAAGATCAATGCACTGATTTGGAGTATAGATATAGATCCAGCAACATTTGAAGTAGGTTGGAAAGATGTTATGAAAGAATTTAAGCTTGAAAGTAATGAATGGTTGTGTGAACTGTATAACATTCGGGAGTCATGGATTCCAGCCTATTATGCTGATGATCCAATGGCTGGTTTATTGCGTACTATATCAATATCAGAGAGTGAGAACAGTTTCTTTAACAAACTCAACCGTAGATCTGACATATTGACAGAATTTTATCTCCGATACGAGAGTGCTATGGAGAAGCAAAGGCATACAAACGCAAGATTAAACTATGAAGGAACAAAGTCGATGTCAAGAATGGACACACCATTGTTATTGGAGAGGGATGCAGCAGAGTTGTACACTCGAACAATGTTTTATGAGGTACAAAAAGAGATAATGTCATCCTGTTATGATATGAGTATCAACAGTATATCAGAAGAAGATGGTGTGAAGATTTTTTCCATAAAGGACAAAAAGAGACAATGAAAAATATTTGAGGTAAAACTTAATAATGGAGATTGAAACAATAAAAATTGAATCCAGATTCAATGCAGTGAATCGCGATTCAATGAAGTGAATCTCGATTCACACCACTGAATTGAGATTCAGTGACCATTTCATGCGCTTGTCATTTTCTTTTTTTATTTGGTGCTAATATACATTGTTTTTTGAATTTTAGGTGAAACATGCTTATTTGAACAATGACGTGCAATGTACATGTAGGCTGTTTGAGAAAATGGGTATAGTATGTAGACATGGTTTTTTTTGCACTGAACCAAGCTGATGTAACAAAAATACCAAGACATCTTGTTGTGAACCGATGGACAAAAGGTGCTGAGATGAGGCATTCATTGCAGTTCAAGGAAATATCAGAACAGTGCAATGCAATTGAAGTTACAAATCGCAAGTTGAATGACATATGGTATGATTTCCAATCCTGTGTGAGTTTGGCAGGTTTAGATGGTGAGAGACTTGACTACCTGGAAGGGAAGTTGAAGGAGTTGAAGCACAGTTTGCGTGAATCTAGTTGGAAATTTGACATACAGAACAAAAATGATGTAATAGAGTTTTTTGTTGGCTCAAAAATACCAGCTGAAGTGATTGTTAAACCTCCCATTGAAGGTAGAAACAAGGGGTGTGGACGGAGAATTGTTGGTGATTATGAGAAATCAATTAGTCAACGAAAGAAGAAGGTGCCAAGGCTGTGTAATATGTGCAAAAAAAATCGATTTCCATAACGCACGGACATGCCCATTAAAGAAAACATTACAGCAAAGTGATGTTTAATTTAGTTGTCATATTTTGTTTCAAAATCATGTTTAGTAATACATTTCTTATTAAAATTGCTAAATTGTGTAATTCTTAACTACATATATTTACTAGATTATTAATTACATGGTTACGTTGTGTCATGTTAGTAAATTGAATTGAGATCTACCCATATAGCATGTGAATTTCATTATTATTAGTTGTATTATTTCAAAAGGAATGATAAAGTAGTTGTATGCAGTCATCAGTTTAAAATTGATTCGCTTTAAGTGATTCTGGACTAACTATATTGGATCTAGATTCATTGTAGTGAATCTAGATTCACTGATATTGAATCTTGATATCACTATAAGGATTCATTATAATCAATCAAACAATCAAATTATTTGATTGATTCGCTTTAAGTGATTCTGGACTAACTATAATGAATATAGATTCATTGTAGTGAATCTGGATTCACTGAACTGAATATGGATTCACTATAGTGAATCTATTTTCAATCAAATAAATTACTAAAAACTTAAGATAATATTGAACCGGTGAATATAGATTAAATACACTCAATCCACAATAAGTACGGTTAACTTACTGAATCTTTCACTGTAGTGAATCTGGATTCACTGCGTTGAATCTAGATTCACTATAGTGAATCTAGATTCAATAAAATAAATTAGTAATAACTTAAGATAATATTGAAACAGTGATTCCAGATTAAATACATACAATCCACAATAAGTATGATTAATTTATTGTATGTTACATAAAACATTGAATTATAACTCACATTCTCTGCTTAAATCGAAATTCTTCCAATTGCATTCACTACCTTCACAATATTTTCATATATCCAAACTATTCACAAATCTAGAAATAAAATTATGACAAAGCTATTCTTATAAAGTATATTTACATAGAAAAACAGTTCAACACAAACTGGAGTATTCTATAACATTAAGTGACAATGTACTCAATAACTGTAAAATTCAACATTGGAAATTATGCTGATTACATAATATCATTTTCTTTGAGATCCTGTGGTCTTTCTCGTCTCTTTTTTGACATTGGCAGTTTCTGCATGGTGCTGTTGGGCTTTGCTGATGACTTCTTTGGCCAATTCATTTGTTGGTTCAGTAAGAATTTGGTAACAGTATATAGACCTCAGTCTATGTAGCTAATTTTTTTATCGCTCCTGTCGATATGAACAAAAGTTCAGTTCAAGATTCAGTAGCTATATTCTAAATTTTATTAATTAACAAAAGTTCAGTTCAAGATTCAGTAGCTATATTCTAAATTTTATTAATTCAAAAAGACTAACTGTAAACTATCAACACATTATTAGTTTAAACACTTAGACTAACTGTAAACTATCAACACATTATTAGTTTAAACACTTACATCCTCTCTATGAAAACCAGAGTTCTAATTTGCTATACCACCGCCCATGTAGGTCTCCATATGTCTCATGACAAAAATACCACAATCAAATTTTTTTTTGGCCGTTCTCCACTCCATTTCAAGTCTGTCAGGCGTTAATGTATTTATTTCACTCGCCTTGTTATGTTTTTTGTGTGCCAAATATCTCACAAAATTCTTGTGCTATTTAATCAAAAGTAATCAGTGTCACATAACAAATCCAAATTATCATACAGTAATGTTTAATGTAATATACAAATTATTTTGGTTGTTTATATGGAAACAGTATTAATGACAGTGAATCACAATTTATTGGATCTAGCTCGCCAGGATTTAATAGAGTTAGTTCACCTGGACTCACTCTAATGAATCTTGATTCACACTAGTGAATCTGGATCCACTAGAATTAGCTATAGCTAGTGGATCGTGATTCCGTAATGTGAACACAGATTCACTAGCTCTAGTGAATCGAGATTCATAGTAAGATGTGAATCCAGATTCACTAACTCTAGTGATCGAGATTCACTAGAGTTAGCGAATCTGGAATTCTCTGACTCTAGTGAATCCAGATTCACTATAGTGAATCCAGATTCACTTATTACTGTATTCTGCCAGTAAATGTTTAAAGAACATACGTAAGGTGGAAAAACATACCAAACCCTCAGGACGACCTTGGTATTTTTCCTTGTAGTCTGGGCAGTTTTTGCTATTGTCAATCAGCTCCATACTTGGATTCTTTAGCCCATAGCACACAATGTAGAAATGCTCAAACACATTTATGGGAAAGAAGACCTAATGGTTGTGAAATTTAATCAGTGATTTTACAGATATAGTTAAAATTGGGTTAAAGAACAAAAACATTGTCTTCGAATCTGTACAATATCAATCTCGTTAAACTTCATATGTGGATACAGAGCAAGTTGCTCATCCATCCGTGAAGCAAACCGACTGTATCTCAATTCATCATTGGCCTCATCTGTGTGATGAATGTTGCAAAACTGTACAACATAAAACTTGTTAAATAAGATGTAACTGAATTGTTATTTTAAAAAGAATAAAGGAAGATACTTACGGTTGTCTCAACATTGCAGAAGAATCTAAGTGGAGAATTTTCGGACTTCATTTTTTCTCTGTTGTTCAAAATATAGGACCAAATGCTGATTAAATTTGCCTTAATGTCCTCAGAAGGAAGGAAAGTCTTGAAAGCAGGTAAGAAACATTCAATTTGTCTCCACTTAAAAACCATTTCACTGAAAAAAATAGTAACAATATTCAATTTAATAAAGGGAAAAAATACTAAAAAAAGTGAGTCTCACACCTAAAAATAAAATATCAAATAAGATTTAAGAACTCACAAATTCTCTTCTTCAGCAGAATCATCACCTGAATGCCTTGCTTCTTCTCTATGCACCCAATTCCATATGATGCTTTGCCTAGCAGTAATCTGAGATACCCTCTGCACCCATGGTGACCGAAGAGACGTTGCAGGCTTCACCATCCTCTTTTCTTTCCCCCTTCCCGCATGTCCCTTATTTTCGGTCACCTGAACTTTCTTACCTTTACATTCATCTACTGCAGCAGCATCTTCAGCTTGTTTATCAGTTCTTCATACAGAGTCATCAATGATTTCAGATTCACAAGCTTTAGCAATCTGAACAACATCAACCATTTCCATTGTCTCAGTCTGAGTATCCTGTGTCAGCCCAAGAGAAAAACTAGGTTCTTCAGTCTGTGGGGTACCACATTCGCTGAGCTTTCGCCTCACTGGTCTGTCAACCTTTTTCATGCTAACAGACTCTATAATCTTATCAACCTCTTGAATAAACTTTGGGGAGACTTGTGCTTGTGGTAACTCAGCTGATATTAGATCAACAGCAGGGGAACCATGCATATCTCTACTCACCTTGGTGTTCACATTAGGGGTATCATCAACAATGTTTCCCACAGCTGTTTCATTGTCACAGGTACTTACACGATGTCCACACCCCTGCACAAGAACATTTGAAACTCTCCGTTGAATTTGAAAGAGCTCATTGTCATTGGGGAACAGCTTTCTCATTGTCTCACACTCAGCATCATATCTATTTTTTGCAGATTCCAACTCTACAGCTCTCCATTGCACCCTCTCAATACAATCCTGCAGTTTGAATTTCACAGACATTGGTCACCATAAGTTATTAACATGGCGAGAGACAAGATTCGATAGTTTGAGATTACATTCAATGTATTTGAATCGAGATTCAAATGACTGAATCAAGAGTCGACTAAAGTAAATCCAGTTTCACTTTAGTGAATCGAGATTCAGTAGTAGTGAATCCAGATTCACTTCAGTAAATCGATATTGAGTATCATTGAATCCAGATTCAATGAAGTGAATCAGAATTCAGTTTAACTTAATCGATAACCACTGATCTGAAACGAGATTCATTACTAGTAAAACGATTCATTGTACTGAATCGACATTCATTTTAAGTGAATCGAGATTCACTCCTACTGAATTGAGATTAAATTGAATAAACAAAGACTTGCAACTTAATTTGCTAACCTTTCTAATTGTCTCAACACTTTTAGGCGAGTTTCCAGTAGCACTCTGCATTCGAGATGAAGGTGCAAGTTCAACCCTCTCTGTAAATGCACCTTTGCCAAATGAATCTGTACTTATTTCCTCTGACTGTCTTTCCTTCAAGGCCAAGTCAGTCCAGCCTAAATATGTAGGAGTTGTTCTCTCAACCAACCTCCTCCCTTTGAACATGACCCGGTCGGCATAGAAAAGCTAGAAAGACGGAGATAAGAAATAAAGCACACCAATTAGTAATCATCAAGTAAAACTACTTTAACTACAGTAATGTAAAAATAAATCAATATTATACAAGTGACTTACAATCAAAAATACAAGAGGACCTGTGTAGAATTGTTTTATCGGGTCTACCTTCCACTTGTGTTGGCTTTCTATCATTGAGTCAAGCAAGAAAGAACACCAATTGTATTCAGAGCACTGATCAACATTGTCACCAAGAACTAGAATCCGTTAGTTGACATACGGATTGCTAAGCGACTGGATCATGCTGTTGTGAAAGAGAACCAAGAAATTCAGTTTAAAAAACAGGTTAACATCAGAACTCTGCTTCAGTTTCTCAGACACAGCCCCTGGAGTAATTTTCCAACCAAGACTGTCTGTGAATTGAGCCCTCCATTCATCTACCAATGCTGACTTCCCAATACTGGAGGCTGGTATACGCTTCCTACCCATAGGTAATCCCATCACTTGATGTACATCTTCCTCTGTGATACTGATTGATCATCTGGGAAGATTAAGCGCAACAGATTCACTGTCAAAGGACTGCAGAATCTTGTACCCCAACATATGTGGCAGTTCCTTTAATCCAAATTGTAAAAGACCTCCAAGTCCAGTTAGTCTCACACATTCTTTTTGGGAGTCAGAGAGTGACAAAACCATATTAGATAATATCTTTGGAGAGACCCGTATCCTAGTCAACTCCTTAGGTTCAGACCGACCTCACATTTTTTTTCAAAACCTTCTCCAGTGACAAAAAAAAAATATAATTAGATCAAATTATCCATCAGTTAATACAAAAAAAAACAACATGCAACTGAATCTCGATTTACTTGAGTGAATCCAGTAGTGAATAAAGATGTTTAGTACACCAACCTTTTTCATCTTCTTCCTTCCTTTTGTGATCTATTCATTGTCTTCATCCCTCCTACGCTTTGATTTTTCCTCACCGGCAAGATTATTTGGGGGGTTGACGAGGTCATCGTCACTGCTGGGCACTGACCTCACATATTTTTTTTCACAACCTTCTCCAGTGACAAAAATAATATAATTAGATCAAATTATCCATCATTGAATACACAAAAAAAATTAAAGATGTTTAGTACACCAACTCTTTTCATCTTCATCCCTTTTGTGGTCTGTTCATTGTCTTCATCCCTTGTACGCTTTGATATTTTCTCACCGGCAGGATTACTTGGGGGGTTGATGAAGTCATCGTCACTGCTGGGCATGTTCACAGTGCGTGTTGTCCTCTGTTGAGGTATAGGTGTAAATACCTCAACAATCTCAACACATGTTGTTTGTTTGTTCCTTGAGCTAGATCGTAGACCTGCTAAACCGATGACAATTCATTTTTTAATGAGACCAGCCTTTGAATAATGCATGGAAAGCATGAAGGTGGAATCACATTATTGAATCAAGATATTATAATCTGAATCGCGATTCACTCCAGTGAATAGCGATTCGCTGAAATGAATCTCGTTTCACTCCACTAAACCGCGATTCACTTGAGTGAATCTCAATTCACTCTATTGAATCGCTGTAGTCAATCGAGATTCACTGTAGTGAATCGAGATTCACTCTTGAGTGAATCTCGATTCACTCAAGTAAATCGAGATTCAACAAAATGTATTGAGATTCAACAAAGTGAATCCAGATTCAACAAAATGTATCGAGCTTCAGCAAATTGAATCCAGATTCAATGATATGAAACCAACTCCATGACATACCATACATTGTTTTAGTGTCTCGTCCCTCAACGCAACAAGGAAAAACTGATCATCGTTACAGTTTAATTTCACTGTTAGTATACATAAAGCATAAAATTTTTCCATCCTATATACTCGGCCTCTGATCATATTTTGGAAAGTTTCCATCCTATATACTCGGCCTCGGATCATATTTGTTATTTTTTACAAACAAACAAACAATCATGATAAAGTTGAATTTTAAAGAGCAATCATTTTTCCGTAACTGGTAAGAATATCCAATATATGAATCTCAATTTTCTACGAAGTATCAGGATTCACATTAGTGAATCGAGATTCTCTATGTTTGAGTGAATAGAGATTCATCCAATGAATCGCGATTCACTTGAGTGAATAGAGATTAATCCAATGAATCGCGATTCATTCTAGTGAATCTCGATTCACCGCAGTGAATCTCGATTCACTCAAGTGAATCGAGGAGATTCAACTACAGTACATATTGCAAAATCCAGACAACCAAAATTAATCGCTACCCATTTATAACAAATGAAAACATCTTACAATATTAAAAAAATTAACTTATTCTAACAAGATCAAGGAAAATGTAAAAAATAAAAACCCTAAAGTAGAACATGCATCCATAACATTTTATAAAGCTAAAAAAATAAAATAAAAAAGTATTCAACAACATGCAAGTGATTCATGTCTAAATTTTAAAACTTTCCTCACTGAATCTATGAAAAATGTTCAAACTTTAATAAAAATATACATTTTTAATACGAGGGTTGGAATCGTTTTACCCCTTCTTGAAGACGAGGGTTTTGGAGTCTCTGAGTTGTTTTTCTTCATCTCGATCGTCGAAGGCTTGTTGTTCGTCTTCGTTCGAGTTGTAATGAGATGTTGAAAGAAACCTAAGTGTTGACAAATCGATGGAATGTGAAGAGTTTAGTTGTTCGGGTGGAGAGAAGATGAAACTGGATTCAAGATAGAGTGAAACTGAATCGACTTTTTCGTGAGAAGAAGTGTTTGACAGCTTTTGCTAATTAATTACAGCGTGTTTCATTAATGACTATTTTCTAAATTACCCCTTTTACTGGTATTTTGTCAGCTGATGTGTATTTATTTTCAATTCTGCCATTTTCAATCTTGACCATTGGATGAGATGGAATGTAGGGTTAGGATTGGTTTTTAGTTTTCTAGGTTTTTATTAGAACCTCACCCTATATATATATATATACCTTCAAACTTTTCAGGGGAAAAAAAACAAAGAATTGCTAATTCCTTCCACCAAGAAAACAATTAAAAGCATTAACCTCCTGCTTTCTATTCATTTATCACACTTGACTCCTTTAGTTGCCCAAATGATTAGCTATGAGCTACAGCAAGCTAACTTTGTTTGGTATATTAACCATTAAATATTTCCAACAGTAGGCAACTAGTACATAAAATTTTTATCACTGGATCAATATAAAAACATAGAGATTTGAACATTAATGTTCTGCACAAGAATTATCCTCCAATCAACAAAAAATATTCGATAGTAAGTACACACTAGAAATTCCATGCCCTCAACTAAAATTAAATGAAAGGAGATGGATATCGCTCTTCAACTAAGAAGACAAATGAAAGGGAATGGATGTGAACACCTCACCATGGCCTTATATTTGACCACAATATTAGCATGGTTCATTTTAGAAAGTGGCCTACATGAACATCAACACGATACAACAAAGCAAAAGCATGAGTTAAAGCTACAACATGAAAACATGAAATCACCAAACTTTATGGTACAATCTCTCCCATCCATGACCTAAAGTTCTCCAGCCTAAACATGCTACTTCGTTGTACTAACCAAGCAATACATGAATCTATAATAAATCTACAGTCAAATCAACCTTGTGCTAACCATGCATACATGATGTGATAATAAATCTACAGTCATCAAACTCCTTAGAAGGTACATATATTAAACCAAATGCAAAGTACTGAAGTTAGCTTGAACTCCTACTGAGGTAACATCCATCAGTATTTGTATTCGAATCTAGCTATCCGCTAGCTTTATGAATGAACCATGTTAAACTGGAACCTTGAAAGCTGTTGAGGGATAGTAGAAATCACGGGCCCGTATCTCTGCAGCAATACATTTTGAAACGTTTCAGGCATGCAATTTTACATAGAAAAGGATAATAGTGACAAAGCTACAAAAGAAACAATAGTTCCAGACGATAATACATCAATTTTCAGTATATGCTAAGGCTACACACTCTTCAAAGTTCACATTAATCCAACATACAATGGTTATTGGATCACCAACATCATCGCCTTTTCGATGAAATTAGGTTTTACAAGGTTCCATGAAACGTTCCATAAAAGCTACAATTACAATTATGAAACGTTCCATAATAAGTTACAATCACAGTTATGGAATTAACCTTGTGAATAGGAGCCAATTCAGAGCCAACTATAGACAGGAGAATTGGGTAAAAATACTCCCAACAGCAGATTGGGTGCCAAAAAGAAGTCCTACTTTATCTTTAGTGCATTAAGTTGCGCCAGTTTTCATCATTGTCTGATTTTACTTACAAAGTACAAGGCTCCATGGAATCCATAAAAGTTTATGACAGTTATATATATATATGGAATTAGCCTTGTCAACAGGATCCAATTCAGAGCAACAATAATAGACTGGAGATATTGGTTAAAATACTGGAACTGCAGATTGGCTGACAAAAAGAAGTCCCCACTTTATTTCTCGTGCATTCAGTTTTAAGTTGTGCAATTAACGGTAAGTATTCAAAAAGATCTCCTCGCTGAGAGTCTAGAAGGAAAAGATAACTTGTAATAGAATCAGTTGGAAGGTAGAGAAAAGCTTTGTAACCAAAAGCAAGCTCAAGGACATATATGGAATCTAGTTTCAGCATAGCTACCAGAAAACATGTGACGGCGAAAACCTAATAGGTAAGAGAGACTATTTTAGCTAACTGGGGTTAATCTTTCATCATAATAAGGAGATTGAGGGGCATGTAATTCGTGAAATCAAAACATATGGTTAAACTTGGGAAGTTTTCGGCAAATATTATATGATTGTAGGACACAATGAAATTCAAATGTAAATTTTACAGGCCCCTATACAGAAAAAATGCCATGTGGGTCCCAAATCATGGGCATATTTATCAAACTTCTCCAATAAAATGAATGTAGCTGCAGATTGCTTACAAAATAAGAGAGAACAAATTTATATTGGTCAGCCATGCACATAAAAGATTAGACGAAGTTATTTAATTCTAGTTAATGGAGCAAGGGTTAGACCTCAAACAAAGCATGGATTAAGGTAGTTAAACATGTTAGATAGTTGTCAGTTTAATTAATAGATTTAAATGGAGAAAAAGGACTGTAGCGGACCCAAAGGTTAAGTTTTTGTCTTGAAATTGCACTCAACCTAAGATCTCAATAAAGTCGAAAAATCAAATGAAATATTCAAATCTTGGATCATGAGAGTAAATTTTGAGGACATGTTATAAACATAGAACATGTAGAAAAAAATCAGAAGGGACATTCAAATCTTGAAATTGAACAGTTTCCTAATTCCAAACAGAGCCGGAGTAATAATTTTATTATAGCGCCATGTCAGGTTAGTTTGGGTACTGTATACATAAAGTTGAAATACATGACAAAGAAAACAGTAAATATTCACATATCAGAAAGTGGCACTTAAAGCGGTTCTCAAAGATTCGGGCTCCTAAAAAATTCACATTACATTCAAAAAGTAAGTAAAAAAATCTTTACCTGAACATTGTCATAGAGTTCAAACAACGGAACAGCAAGCAACTTCAAGTTTTTCGGAACAGCAAAATATTCCCTTTCTGATAGGTGAACAATGAAAAGCTTCTTGCACTCCTAAGGAAGAGGGAACACGAGATCTTAAGTTTAAGCAGAAACAAACAACATCAAAAGGGTATGGTCAAGATACGACAAATTCTAATGCAATTCACCTTGGGTTTAGTGATGTGAGGAGGGCAGTATGGATACATTATTGTTTCAAAGTTTGGCCTCCACCAGACTGCAACGCACTCTCCAATCTGCAAGTGAATTAAACAAGATAGTAACATTTCCCAAATATATTACGCTACTTGGTGGATGAACTTTAATAAGTCTCGAAAAACTTGATTTAACCTGGATTAAAAATGAAATATATATTAATTTCCACCCAAACACAAAACTATCAGTGAGAATATTTTTGAGTGTGAAAAAATTAGGAGATTTACTAAGTATTAGAATTTCAAAATTTCCTATTTATAAAGTATTAGAATTCAATTTTTCCATGTACAGGATTGAGAACCATGGGCATGCTTTTACAAAGGGTAAAATTTATTCCTATTCTAGCCTCTTAATAGTAAATTGACCCATCAAATTTTCTTGAAACTTCAAGCTATTGATGAAACGAACCTTCTATAGCTTCATCACCATTGCCTAGTCGTCATTGACATAGTTCAAACCTTATCTATCAACGTGGAATTGAATATGTAGCATAAGGTTCCAAGAACTGATTGAATTTCTATGACTGTCAACACTATGTCAACGCTCCAAATTTCTGCCAGGTTACTAATAAATGACGAATCTAATAGGGAATCCTATGGCAGGATCTTCAAAGATCAGGAATGGATGAATCAAGACCACGATGTCCAGCAGAAAAATCAGCTCCCTTTCATGTACATCAGTAGTTACTCGCCTGCGCTTCAATGCGCACAACTAGGCAGGTGATCTCCTAAAGCGACAGTTATTAGGGTACTTCACATGTTAATTTATATTAATTTAGATGTGTGCATTCTGCAGTATGTCTAGTACGGAATACCTTTTTTAAATCGAATTTCTATCTTCATCACATTGGAAGAACGAAACATTTGGGTAACAAATTACCTGCCAATTTGGCTGAAAGTTAGGTGAGTTAACAGCAAGTTTGCTGCACAACTTCCGCCTTAACCCCTCGATCTCTGCAAAAAGAGGATGCTATCAGACATGAAAATCTTGACGGGACAACACCATTATTTTTTAAGCAGGGTACAATAAGACAATTCCTCACCATTCTCTCCAGGCTTTATTCGTCCCCCAGGAAGTTTACAGAAAGTGTTTCCGATCTGCAGTAATAGTATATGAGGATGATTGTGTTCCTGTACCTGCAAACCAAAAGCCAATTAATAAGGCCCAAATTGATTTGACAAAATTATCCAGGAGGTAAAAGACAATTCCAAATTTGCACAAGTTCTTTTCAAATATCAATACATTAAATGAGATCACAAAAAGAAAGGCATTTATATGCTAAAAGAATTTAGTCCCTCACATTACATAAAATCTGTCAAAAACAAATACTTAAACAAAAGCCCCACATATGCAGGCATCTCACTCATACTGCGTACAAGAATTAGATGATCCACTAACTTATTAAATAACTAGAATAAATGACTAATAGATCAAAATTTTCAACTGAATCTAAAAGAATATTACAACCCATCTCCGGCACATTGATACCACATAGGAAAAGCGGAAAGCTAGAAACCAGCCAGTCTAAACTTGAAGTTGCCTTGGATTCAGAGTAATAGATTTCAAGAACTTCTCAAATGGAGACCGAAATGAAGTTAATGCCACTTGTTACAGACAAATAATCCTTTATGTACAAGACATGCAATGAAGTTATAGCTAAAATAACCAAATATTAGCATATATTACATGGCAACAACTCCTGTTACATGGTGAGACTAGTTTGCAATCTAGTATTTTAATATGTGATATCAGCTTTCAGAATTTAGGAAAAGGTGTCACAAGTAATAATAAACTCAGTAATGGTACTAAGAGAAAGTATATGGATAGTTGTTGCCACTTAGTATCATTAATTCAAATTCACATGAGGGAAGGCATTGTATACTAGAACCACTCAAATTCACACGAGTATCACCATCTCATATCATAGTAAGAGATCAAACATCATGCATAATAACTATAAGGAAAAATAGCAAGCAAACAAATTCATATGAATTAAATAACAAGAAATTAAAAAAGAAATAAAGTTGGTGCTAAGAAATTCCATCTGATCCTCAGACATACAGAAAGGAATGCAAGACAGGAATAGTTTCGAACTCTTTCCCTGCCCTGGCAATTGCGCAATTGCTTCGATTCCAATTGACTTTCCTACAAGAGCAAATATGAGGGATATAACAATTAACTTTGAAATCCACAAAAAAAATCTCCTTTTTTTCTTTCTTTCTTTTTTTGGGGTGCACGTATTCGCCTAAGCTGTTAAAATCATCTATGTATTAGTTCAAAACTAGTCAACTATAACCGACGTGACATGGCTTTAAATGATAGACAATAACTATTGAGCCAACATATGTATCCCATAACCTAAGCAGGTTGTTGTCACTTATACGGGAGTGAATTAGTTAATAAACTTAACTAAATATCATACGCCAACTTGACCTCCAATAATTGTTGTACACCAAACACCCCCCCCCAACCAACCGACCTCCCCCCCCCCCCCCAAAAAAAAAGGAAAACCAAAGAAGAGATGAAAAGGATCAGACTATTCATGGGACCAGCCCATTCCATGCTAAGCAATTATTTACACTCTGGTGCGACCATAGTGAAACTAAGCATGGAGACATCTATCTCTTTCCCATCAACACCTATAAATAGTTAGAAGGGATAAATTCCACAGACCATTTCTACTTCTCCCAAGTCCCAACCTCCTCCAATCAAACAGACTCACCCCATTTTGATAGGACAATGCATTTGCTTTATATACTGAATCACTTAGGCATAGAAGTTTTAGAATCAGATTTAAACTACTCCTCTCATGTCATGGCAACAGTTAAAATTTCAGCAGAACTCCCACTTCATATCCCTGCACTCCTCTGCAACTCTCGATCCGCAGTGTAACAAAATTTTGATCAGACAATCCACAGTCAAACTGCATTTTTTTGTTGGACTTCATCAAACAACCGGTATAGGGTCAGTAATTTAAGTCGGACATTAACAAAACACAAAGCTATTGCTAAGAATTAATGCCTTCAACAGCTATTCGAAAACTCATCATGTTAAGGAAGATAACTTTGATGACTCAGTTCCTCATGACTCCTGCTGAGTAGGCAGGTCAAGGAAATTGTCCAATTGAACTCAACCATAGGTCAAGGAAACTAAACAAAATTTGACAAGCTTACATTGCAAGTGACGCCAATTAAGGGTTGCAGTTTGTACGGACCTCCTGGACAAGTTCAAGTATTGTTAACCTACTTTCATAAATACCCAAATAGAATTATTTGGGTGCGTAATGTCGAGATTATGTAACCTTATGATGGTTGGAAGAGGAATTCATTGGTAACTCTCACCAATTATGCAAGTCTAATTACATTAGTTGCTTGCCAGAACAACACAACATAAACCCATATAATCTAAAATTTACATTTGGCATTTTTTTTATATACTTTAAATTAAGCCCTACATGTCATCTCTTTAAATTGCATAATATATCAATCTTTGTAAATATGCACCCATGAACAAAATTCAAGGAAACCAAATTTGGTTTCAAGTACATGAGGTATCAATATGAAGCATATAGTCACCAAAAATTCTGGATCAACTTAAACAATTGAAATTACGATATTTGGCTAATATACCAAAATCAACCACCAAAAAAGGAAAATTAGATAAAATTAACACCCTAGGAAATGATTACGATAATATTGCCAAAAAACAATGTAACAATAATTTTTACTTGATCATATGAAAGAAATATGGTACTTACTAATAAAATTGCCTCGACACTTGTCCTCATACCTTCTTTCATATAGCTGATAATAGCAAAAACATCTAATCAATACTATAACAGGTAAAATAGATTAGAGGAAGAACACAAAAAATAATTGAAACCAAAATAGCAGTATCAACATTAGATGATTTTAAATAGCAACCCCTGCAAAAATGTCTAACTCATTAAACTCAATACTCATACTTTAGAGAGTAAACAATGTGGATTTGGAAAGTAAGAGAGTTAAACTTATTTTATCTAAAATGAATCCTCTCAAAGCAATCCCTGCAAAATGTCTAGTACCAATATATCTCCTGGGCAAACTAAAAGAGTTCTTAAAATAATTTACAGAATAATAGAGAAGAACCGACCAAGTCTTTCATGATAATTGGAGCAGCAACAGAGTACATCTCAATTAAAAACTTAACCTGGCCCGTAAATCCAC